AGGGAAATAAGTGTAGTTAGTGATATTAGTGTGTCTGGGACACAAGACAAGGATATTTGTTTGTACTTTCTGGTGCCGTTTGTGATAATAAAGTACTCAGTTCATTTCTATTAATGATTACGGTCCTTTGCTAAATTGGCTACGAAGATCTAAAGTCTCTCCCTTGACTGTAACATTATGCCGTAACTATTTAGGAAAATTAAAGGAAATTTATCAAAATTGGAAAGTTGCTGCAAAATTCGGTGTGACATGCAGAGGTGCGATATGCTGAGATGTAATACACAAAAATTTACTTAAACTCGCCTTATAAAATATGCTTTAAGCCTTCCTTAACATGCTTCTCACTAAATGCTTGATTACATTTATTTTCTTAGTTCTGTTTTTCGGAGAATTAAGTTTTTTAATATACTTGGTGCGCTTGTTTAATGTTATGAACTTTCATTCAATGCTTGTATTCAATTTATGGATCCCCAACCTTATTCTGGTATCAATTATGGGGTTGATTTCTGTAAGTAATTCTTTAACAATTGGTAAACGATTTTCAAACTTATCATAATTATTTTTTTTAAAAAGTTTTGGTCGAAAACTGTATTAAATGCAATTGCCTTTTGGCTCTCGAATTTTATGCCGTTAGCGCTGTCAATTATGGGAAGAAACTGTAATCTTATAATAATATTCTTTTACATTTTATCATATTGATAAAGGATTTAACATTTTAAAAATGTTTACTTCTAGCTATGTCGAAAGAATATATGTTTCCAGAAAAAAATGAAATTTATGATTACATGGTTCCACTTATAATTTTTTCTGCTCTTCAAATTCTTTATGCACTTATCATTGGCGTACTTTGGAAAAAGAAGTATGCATATTAAATTAGAAAAATTATGGTTTACCAAAGTTTGCTTAATATAAACTGAATTTGTTTCAATAGTTACTGGAAATTTCAACATAAATTAGAGTACGATTTTGGTGCTAAAGGCAAAGGTATGATTTTTCAAAATAAATTTTTACATATTTTTTTTATGGTATACTTTAATATACTTATTCATTTCGACATAAGCTTTATTTTCTATGTATCAATACGAGCTAGTCCTATACCAATTGACCATTGTTTTTATGCCTATTCATACTATGAAATTTCTTTTTTCTAAATTTCAACCTCAAGATGTTCTAGATTTATCTAGGTTATTCTTACCATATCAATTATATTATTTTTCATTTTATTACTGTACTTTTTTTTTTAGTTGGCCGATCATTTGCTTTATCATCATAGGGGTATGAATTATATAAAAATGCTGATATAAAAAAAAAATAGTTTATTCTAATTTATATTTATTTATTCAAAAAAGATTCAACGAGAATCTCGACCTATTATGTATATTGTACAAACTGTTATCTTTCTTCAAATTCTTATAACTCCTTTTGATTTTGGAATATCTACATATATATTTTTCAAATACACGTCATCAAATATATTATTTAATGATGTGTTCATTATTTATATTCCTTTTTCAGGTATGTTTTTATTGTTGAAGGCTGGAAATATAACGCATATAATTAAAAAATTTTTCATTCCTTTAGTTATTATTTATATGCTTTTAATTGTTTCATTATTTATACAAACGATTAAGTGTCAGCACAACTTTGGAAATGGCTTGGAATTTATTCGTATGTAACAAGGTTACTCAATACTTTTTGCACTTTATTGCATAATAATCATATTCATTTTTTTTTAAATTCTAGTAAAATATTCGCCAAAACCTAAAGAATTTGAATATGATAAAGATGATGAAATATTTAATAAGAATGACGAATATTTATCTGATGATGAGGATTTATTTGATAATATGAATCTTTTTTCACATATTTTAGAGAAAATTAAAACAGTGAAATTATGCTTTGTAACAGTCATAATTGATCTTTTAAATTAATTATTCTAATTCTTGAACTATATTTATTTTTCTTTTATCAAAATAAAAATTTTGGTTTTTTGGCGTAATAATCTTGGCAATATTTATGCAAATCTGGAAGCTAGTATAATTTGAAAATGGCCTTAACTTAAGCATCAAATTCTATAGTTTATTATTAAGAAATCTTTGCTACAGATCACAGTAAATTAGATTAAAATAAATATTGATTTCTTTTTTAAGCCTCTAAAACATATTTTGGCCACCAGTAGCAAAAGGAGCATTGTGACAATCATGTAATTTTGAGAAAATCATGATTTAATATCTTCACATGGTTAATTTTAATATTGTAATAACGAAAAAATTTTAAATAATACACTTTTTATTAGTAGATTTTACAAACTAAAAATCTTTTTAAAAAAACAAAACTTATAAGCAAATTATTATTATAAAATCTCAAAAACTGTTTAATTTGCCTGTGTATCAAAAGGGTATCAAATAGGGATATTAAACCGTTTAAAATAGACTGTTTCAGTTCCGAACTTGCAGTGCAATACATAAACCGAATTTAACTAGTCGTTTCACTGATAATCTTTTTTTGCAATACCGATTTTTTTCCAATACTGATACATAAAAAAGTAAAACTATGAAATATAACCGTACTAACTATATAAAGAGAAGCATTTAATTTTATTTATTTTTTTTTATACCACTATTTTAATCATCTTCTAGTACTTTATTAAGCTTGTTGCAAATCAGGTTTTAAGACAGAGAGCAACGCAAGCTTTTTCTGCTCTAGTCAGTTTCTATGACCAAAATTTAATTTAGCAAGGTAAATTAAATAATCTATCATTATTATCGTCATATGACCAAAATTCAATATAGCAAGATAAATTAAATAATTTGTCACTATATGAATAAAATTTAATATGGCAAGATAATTAAATAATTTGTTTAATACGTTGTCACACACGAAAAACTAACTACGTAATATATCACGTATCTCATGTAACAAACGAACTAGTTCCGCTGATTCAATCTGAATCATAATGGTCTGAGTTTTGAACTCAGTCGAACTAGTTCCAGCCAAACGATTTAACATCCCTAGTATTGTTACACCCGAAACTCCTCTTAGAAGTTCGGTATAACGTTTTACTATAGCGACGGATTATATTAATCGATTAATAACAAATACCGATTTGTGCTAAGTAAAGTATATGGTTAGTGCGGTTACGCTTTTAAGAGGATTGAGTGATTTGCAGTTACGAAAGAGGCAACGGCTAAGTGTATGTGAAGATACAGATAGTCGTATTAACAAGTTTACAGTTTATTCAACAGGGTTCTCGCTGTTCGTGTATGAAGACACTATAACGGAGTTAGGATTTTATTCGAGCGATCCGTGTGTGAAGACACGATTACTCTTTAAGGAATTGTTATTTATTCAATAAAGTATTCGAGTTGTTCGTGTATGAAGACACGATTACTCTTTCTTTATTAGGGAGGTGTTGTTGGAACTTCGAGTTCTGTTCTTTACAAGAGAAATTTCTAAGTCTATTTATACCTTTTTGACTATCGATCTCTGTTACTATTTTTATAAATTACAAATTTACTAGAACCACTAATTTTAAAAGAAAGCATTAGCGCTATTAATGTAATAAGTGCTTTGAACTACTGATCCTATCTATATTACTTTAGCGATAGTTAGCGCTAGCTAGCGCTACTTAGCACTCTTGGCATTAGTGTTACATTTTCGCTTAATATCATATGATGTTAAATTACATGGGTTAACAGCATCAAACCGTAACTGTAATTGTTAAGACTTGGCTTGATTAATCTTTATGCACATGATTTTTTAATGTTAATACGAAAAATTGAAACCCGTGACGGAAGTAATTACATTATTAATACAAACTTAATTAGAATTAGATACTTTTAAACTATTTAAATACGTAGTGATTTGCATCAGTAATGTAGCCACTTCCGTCACAGGGTTTCACACCATCTTATAGACAACCAATCAAAATTCACAATTTGTTAACAGACAGAAACTAGGTGTACTACCATATAGTCCTTCAGACAATGATAATATAACTTGCTAAGCCTTTTTTTTTTTTTTAGGATTCTGATTGAAAGCCTAAAAAAAGAAAAATCCTGAGACAAAGAATCGATCTACTATAACTCTTTTTTGTATAATCCAAGGAAATGTGCGTAATGCTTTTGCCATTAATATTGACAGGAACAAAAACCGCTAGTGAACTTAAGAGCATGATCCAAACAACAAAACATAATGACTTTGCTGGCATCGATTCTGACCGCCTCAAATTATGGCAAACTGAAATTTCTGACGCTAATTACGATGAACTGGTTAATTTTCAAATCCATGACAACGACGCTAGCTTGGACCCAGTTTTCTTGGATAATTATATTCCAAACAATGTTGGACAACATAATATGCTCACAGCATTGCAGCAAACTAATATTTGTACTCCTTGCAAAAAGGAAAATAAGCAAATATTTCACCAAAGAGCCAGCTAATGAACATATACATGTTATAGTGTCTTCACTGAAATCTATAAGAAAATTACAGAAGCAACATGAAAAACCTATATGGTATATTAGTTTAATTGATTTTATAATTAAAAATTATATAATTGACTTCTTTATAACGAACTGGTGGTTCATATTGTAAAAATTTTTCAAAGTCTCTTATAGAGAACAAAGGGTTATTTTATCTGGTGTTGACTTTAAATCTAGTTTTTGTACTGTAATTATAGAATTCCATATACTGTAATAGTTAATCCAAAACGAATAAAATCCTTTAAATGGGTCGCGAACATTGACAAAGCAAGCCTTAAAAACCTTAAAGACTCAAGATTTTCTGCATATCAAATCCCGAAACTCAAAAAATAATAGTTCAAAACTTACATTTGCATACAATAATGAAAAAATATCTCCCAAAAATGATTTAGAATTCCGGAATATGCTTCGATCACTTGTGGCAAAAGGAAGCTAAAGATTCGCTGTATCTTATTAATGACCTGAAACTCTGAATTAACGCTATGCTCATTGAAAATGAAGCATCAAAAAGGCATTATGTCTGTACATACTGTATATTATGGCTGCTGTAAATCTCTTGGAGACCTAGCTCGTACAGAAAAAAAATATTTCAAGTCTCAATGGCCATGGACCTGTTGATTTTGCCTTTATTTCGATTCGTAGGTATAATTGAAGTTAAGAATAAAAATTTTTTTGCAAGGTATTGCACGATACAATGCAAGTCTGCTTTATCAAACAACAAAAAACGTGTTTTTGGCATCATTACTGATTCCGAGAAGTGGTTTCATCAGATGAAGAAAACCTGAAATTTAAACTTTCAAAGCCAATTGTCGTTGTATATGACGATAAAGACATAGAACTTCGGGTGAAAAAAGTTCTTGGTTGTATTGCATGGCTATTAGAGGAGGCACAAACGCTTGAAGAATTAGAGGTCGTAAATTCAAATGCATGATTATCTATTGCATGGCTCTTAGAGGAGGCACAAACGCTTGAAGAATTAGAGGTCGTAAATTCAAATGCATGATTATCAAAGTATTTAGCAATGTATGAATAATATAAAATGTATTCGAGTGTGTAACGCTTTAATAAACTATAATTCTTCAAACAATCGAGCATTGCAAAGATCATTGAAAAATGTACACTGAGTGCAGAAATTACACAATTGTCTAAGGAAAATGGGACTTGGTTCTTTATTTTCGTCCTCCATATGTACAAATATACTTAGTTATTTGTATGATACAAAAAGGTAATATATATAAATATCAGTTTTTGAATTTATTTCTGTGTTTTTCAACTCGTACGAATTTACGGATATATACGGTAGTTTTATGATCGGAAAAATTTTGAATATTAGAGAACTTCATTAGCACGAGAAAATTAAGGTTTGATTGAATGAAGCCGTTAAAGGTATCTAAATATATTAAAAATCTGAACCTTCAATGCAACCTGATATTCATATTGATATGACAAAAAAATTACAGCAAATCTAATCGAAGTGCATAAGTTGACCTTTTCATAAAAAGCATTTATTTTTAATACTTTGCACCTACTTTTTTGATACGTCTAAACTAGGGGTGTAAACTTAATTAAATTTAATTGCCGAAATAATTAGATTTTCGAAAATATTACAGTCGTGCCTGAGTTATATCTCCACAGGGCAGGGTTATATCCCAACCTGAGTTATATCTCCATATTATCATATACAATAAATTTAAATGCTGCCCTTTAATTGTCAATAGATACCCATGTTTTATGATCCTTTTATTATTAATAGACGCTTTGTATCCTGTAACCTTTTTATCATTAATAGACGCATCGTGTCTTGTAATCCTTTCATTGTAAATTGACACATCGTGATTTATAACCCTTTCATTGTTTATTTCAGTAGTAGTAGAATTTTTAATTTTAGTAACAATGGCATTTTGTTCACGAATGCCAATAAATGAGTTAGAAGTGGTGGCTAGTTAGTAGTTTAGTTCTTGACTTTCGTACACGTTTGGTTTAGTGAGTATATTTTAAAATTTTGTGGTTCTTAAATATAAAAAAATGTGATAGATCTACATATTTATGTAGTATCTGTTATTAATCAATTTATAGTTCTCCGATAGTGAAGTAGTGGGGAAATTAGGGCACCCGTCCTCACTCTTCAATTATTCCCACAACCTTCGTATAGGATCTTCAGTTGGGTCATGCTAAGAATTTGGCAAACATTTTCTAAATCAGTTTTTGACATTTCTGACATATTGACTTACAGTTATAACTTTTATTATAGTTTATTATATTACTTTTATTGTGAAAAATAATAATTTGTCTGAAAATATATTACTGCAGCAGTTATATCGGTATTGCCATTTATCTACTAAAAATTTTTTCTTCCTGATTTTTATTTTATCAATCTGCTCTATTAATTAATTTTTCTCTTTTCTACATAGTTATTTGTATACAAACAATACCTCATGAGAGTTAGCCAGGGCGGCCACCAAAATGCTGGTGATGGTGGGAGTGATTTACGTCACCAGCACTTTGAGGGGCCGCCCTAGCTAATTCGTCTCATGAAGGAAATAAATTAAAAATAGATTTCTCTTTGCATATTTGATAACGTGCTATGACCAATTTCATTTTATTATAATCCTTCGAACTATAATACAATGCTTAATCCCATGAAGTACAGTTATAGGAAGGTTCATTTACCCAGAATTCGTTACACATTTGAAACACTTCATATTCTTCTACAGAAAATTTTGAAAAGTTATCTATATTATCATATGTCGATTTATCTCTAATTGGATCATAAGTATCATTGTAATAATTATAACAATGACATTGACTGTCTTGATCACAATTACCTTTCAAGGTAAGACCACCACCACCAAAACATGGGCATATTTAGAATGGCATAAAATTGCAGTTTTAGACTTCTTTACACGGCTTAAAATAGAATGATTAATAGAACCATTTTTTAATGAAAAAATAAAGCATTCATTGGATTTTTTAGTAACTCTTTTGGTGCGTGGTTTATCCCATGAAATAGGGCTGTATCCTCCAAGAATTTCATCAGTGCCTTTAACTTTTATGACAACAATAACGTTTTCCCACTCGCTACATAGATTCCAAAATGAGGCAGCAGTAAACCCATCCCTACTTCCACGAAGGAGTAAATTAAATTTATATGGATTGTTTTTTGTTGAATATGCTTTTTTACCAACCCATGAAGCAATTTCAGCAGCATGCACTTCACTAATAATAGTTGAAAATTGTTTTGTTAAAACTATACGGGGAGGAAGAATTTTCGATGTTATTGGAATATCAGAAGAGATTAATTTTCTCATTAGATCTTTCCAAAGACTCTTTTCGAGAATTTGAGTGTATGGCTGCACATTTTCAACAATATCATAATTAGATATGTGAAAATAACGGATATGAGGTAAACAATTTTGCAAAGTAGCCTTCAAAGTTTGAAAATTTTCGAGAGTATAATCATCATGATTAGATGGTAGGCCAGGATTTTGGGCAACACCCCATTTGATGACATAATCCCAAACTTTTCCTTCATCCATTTGTAAATCATCACGTTCTATAAGTGAGATCAAAACATTTTCTTGAATAGAGGTAAAGTTTTCAGAATCAAAAATTTTAGTTGGATGCTTTACTATAATATCGTTGCACCATTCTTGCAAACCTTGAAGTTTATTATTTTGAAAACATTTCGAATAAGTATCGGAAAAATGTAAAAGAAGCCAGTGAGATTTCTTTTCAATTAAATAAGTTTCAAGATATTTGATAAATTCCTCAAGAAGAAATTCGCAAGAAGCAAGGATGAGCTCAACAATGAATGATGAATCAATATTTTCTAACGGTACCACACCTCCATAAATATACCTTTTTAAGATAATGAATACAAGAAATTCAATCATAAATAATGCATGCCATACATAAATTGAAATACAAATAATTTACCTTATAATAATTTCAAACTGTTGAATAGTTACATTTTTTAAAGTAATTTTTTGATTTTATTTTTATCTTTCTTAGTGTTCTCTAAACGTTCATGAAAATACGAAGACCTTTGTCTCAAAATTGCTGAATGAGCATAAAAAGATTTTGTGTTTGGTGAATCATTGACATTAATAATTACATTATAATCTTCTTTGTCATCAAGAAGTTTAAGGTAATCAGTTGAAAGTTTATTTAAAAGATTCGCTTCCATCTTAAACGAAATAAACTTGAGGTTTATTAAATGTTAATCGGTACACGTTTTGTAGTTATTGTCGCAGATCATAATGAAATCGGATTAAAATGAAATGAGGAGTTTCTATTTGAGCCCCTAAAACCCACTTATCGTTATACTTGTTTATTATAAAATCTGCTTCTAAACCCTAATCCTAACCCTAAAAAAATGCTAAAAAAACGCACCCCAA